CTAGTGCGAGCAGCACGAACAGGCGACATAGGACGAGACGCAGGCTCACGACGCTCAGCAAGACCTCCAGTAGGACCAGTGTAGGGAGAAGGAGCAGGTAAGGGGGAGGCTGGATGTAACTGTGACCGCGAGTGGACAGGCTGTGGACACTCTAAGGGAGGAGCAGGACCAGTAGAGGGCGGGAGACCAAGAACCTGCTCAAAGAGCGGAACAAAGTACGGCCGCGGCCGCGCAGCGCCTCCAGAACCAGCAGGGACAGCACCAGTACCCCCAGCGGCAGCACCAGCGTCAGCAGCACCTTTAGCTCCAGCAGCGCCAACTCCAGCACCCTCAAACGTACCAGCGCCAGCAGAACCACCAGCGCCAACACCCCAAGCAGCTCCAGCTCCAGCAGCTCCAGCAGCACCAGCTCCAGCAGGACCGGCACCTCCAGTACCACTAGCAGCTCCTGCAGGACCTCCATCATGACCAACTCCAGCAGCCCCAGCAGCACCCCCAGTCCCAGCAACTCCAGTACCGCCAGTACGAGCACCTCCAGGACCAGCAGCAACAGTAGCACCTTCAGCTCCAGCAGCACGGCTCCAGCACCGGGCAAACCACTCGCGCAGCTCCTGCGGAGAGAGTAGCTCCTGCCTCGACGAAGCTCCGCGAGAGGCCACACGAGCAGACCCAGCACCCCCAGGCTCCACACCACCAGCCTCAGCACCCCTAGGCTCAGCACCCCCAGACTCAGCACCCCCAGACTCAGCACCCCCAGGCTCTGTACCCCCAGGCTCCGCACCCTCAGACCTGGCACCCGCAGGCTCAGCACCTTTAGCAGCACCAGAGTCAACAACTACCTCGACAGGCTCGACTGCGTCTACCTGGGACACACCTGACGGGGCAGGACCCTGAGGGGGGAGGGGGTCTACCGTGGGAGGACATGGCTCTAGAAAGAGCGGCGGCGGGGGGAGGGGCGCAGTGCGGTAGGGGAAGAGACGGTAGTAAGGCACCGACTCGTCAAAGGTGACGTCCTGGGAGGACAGAACACGGCGCGAGGTGGGGTTGTAAAACTGCCACCCAGGCGCGAACAGCACGGGGGGACAGCTTGTCCGCAGACAAGTCGCGGACAAACGACCAAGATCCCCAGACCCGAAACGCAGACGCATCGCCAACCTTCCCCGTCCACCACAAGGTCTCTGGCAAGGAGACCCGGGGCTGAAGGTTGAGCTGATGTGTGCGTACTGAACTACAAACGGCCACAGAAAATGGGGGGCAGCCGCATGGATCATGGACGTACGAGCGACGTCCATGACCATGCCAATGCGACGCTTAGCAATCCCATTTTGCTGTGGAGAGGCCGGAAGCGTGAAGGTCTAGCGGATGCCTTGTGCACGACAGAAGGCTCTCAGGCGGGCAGAGGAAAACTCCCCGCCTCTGTCAGAGTGCAGACGCAGAACAAGAAAGTCCGAGCCGAAACTCTCTCTGAGCTGGAGACGAGCTGCGCGGATCCAGTCGATCAACACCTCAGTGACGTCACCCTTGCTGCGCAAGGGGAAGACCGTGTTGTAACGCGAGTAGTCGTCAACCACCAACAAGAAGTAACGCTCGTGACCCTGGCCACGGACGCGGGCGGGGCCCCACACGTCCATGTGAAGAGTCTGTAGCGGAGCCTCTGTCGGAGGACACTCGGAGGAGTGAGGGGCAGCGCGCTGTCGCCCCTCGACGCAGGGGACGCAGGTAGGGGTAGGCCCCGGAGGTAGGGGAGGCAGGGACCGAGGGAGACCAGAGACAAGGACACGGGAGGCCATGCCTCGGAGTCGAGGCAGGGAGGGGTGACCAAGGCGGTGGTGCCAAAGGAGAGTCTGGTGGGACACGAGACGACACGAGCAGGGCGCAGACTCAGGACCAGACCTGGACGCTGCAGCAAACACCTGACTCGACGCAGCTACCTGACTAGACTCAGTAGCCGGAGGAGAATCAGTAGTCAGTGTGTACAGGCTCGACCCCGGCCGACGGGTAAACGTGGCCAAGTGTCGGCCCGTCCGAGCACACGTGCAGTGGGTCACCCGCTGACTCGCAGAAGTGAACTGGTCAACCCCCCGGTCCTGTAGATCAGCTCCACTCACCAAGTTTGTAGAGAATGAGTTGAGTTAGAGACTTGACAGGGTGCCAGAGGGGGCTGCCGGGCACGGTAAGACAGTGGAGAAGCTAGCAAGGACAGGACCCCAAGAGGGATCCGCCAGGGAGACCGCAACCGGTCGACTAAGCGGCGTAAGCGTGGTGCGGTCTCGAAAGAAGGAGCGGGAAGCACCCGAGTCAAGGGTGAAGGTGTGTAAGGCCTGAGCCAACGTGGTACCTGAGAGTGCAGACTCACCAGCACCTGGGGCAGCAGACACACTAGCACCTGGAGTAGCAGCCTCACTAGCACCTAGAGCAGCAGCCTCAATGCACAGGTCAGGCGGAACACACAGGTAACAGTCACCCTCAACACTATCAGACACAGCGTACATGGCAGCAAGAATAGCATCATAGTCAAGATCAAAGATAGCATCCCCCGCCCTAGACAGCTCTCCCTAGCGAGGGATCTCAGTGGCGTCAGGAAACTGGTGACGCCACGCGTCCGTCAGGTGGCCGAAGCAGTTCTAGGTGGAGTGCGGGCCCCCGCACTGCTCACCTGCGCGGTCGCCGGTACGGAGGACGTAGGTGCAGGGACCAGTACCCCCACCGCGCTGACGCGCAGCGTACCACTCACGAAGCTGCTCAGGGGACAGGGTCTCACGACTGCGCTGCTGCTGCTGTCGCGGACCACCACCGGAGCCACTCCGCTGCGAAGAGCCGCGGCCAGCTCCATCGCTGCCGCCGCCGCCTCCGCCACCTCCGCCGCCTCCACCACCTCCGCCGCCTCCGCCACCTCCGCCGCCTCCGCTCCCTCCGCCACCGCCGCCGCCTCCTCAGCCTCCACTGCTGCCACCGACACCTCCACCCCCGCCACCACTCCCACCACCACCCCCACCCCCTCCACTTCCTCCACCACCACTTCCACCGCCCCTGCCAGCCCCTCTAGCGCCCTTGCCTCCCTTGCCCTTGCCGGTGCGGCGTCTCCCGCTAGGGGTAGACGCAGCGCCGACCGACTCGAAACCAACGAGGTCGGCCGCAGCAGCAGAAGCAACAGAGGGCAAGAGGGGGGAAGGGGAACACCCCTCAAAGACGGGGGTGCGAGGGTCACCACGAGAGGCTCCTACAGCGAGTATGTCCTTCTCTCCTGCTAGGAGGCGCTCCTCTAGGAGGTCAACGGTGAGTGTGGTGGGGCAAACTGAGAGGAAGTGGTCCCTGACTAAGCGAAGGGAGTCAGGGAGTCGGGTGACTATGTAGTAGAGGGTGATGTACATGGGGGGGGGGTTCTTGGCACAGAACTCAGCAGGAAGCGCAGCGCGGTAGCGAGTGTCGCTAGTGCGAAGGTGCGTAATGAGGTCAGCGACTGTGGGAAAGGCAGCAAGGTCAGGGAATAGGTACGGCAGCATGAGGCGACTAAGCGCAGCAGTGGCAGGGGAAGAGTAGCGTGCAACTACAGCGTCGTACAAGGTCTTAGCACTCTTGTACTGGCTAAAGTGCGCACACTCAGTGGTCGGTAAGTGGCGACGCACACCAAGACGGGCAGCAGCATCGCGTGTGGCCCACTGTGAGCGAACAGTGCTGTTAGCTGTAGCAAGCGGGGCATGAGAGGCACCAGAGGTGAGATCGAACAGGGAGAGTCCGTCTGCCCTATCGCACTGTAGGAGCAGCAGGAGGTCATCGACCCAAACCTCAAAGTCAACAGCACGACCCTCAGCATCAAAGGTAAGGACACAGGGGGTAGCCATGAGTGCACTGGCCGAGCAGGGAGTGATCTCACCAGTCCGAGTAAGTAGGGCCGGGGCGCGCCGGTAGGAACAGTAGCGGCTCGACGGCAGGGCGGCTCGGTGGCTCGGCTACTGGGCGGCTCGGCGGCTCGGCTGTTGGGCGGCTCGGCGGCTTGGCTGTTGGGCGGCTCGGCTGTCGGGCGGCTCGGCGGCTCGGTTGCTGGGCGGCTCGGCGGCCCGGCGGCTCGGCTGCTGGGCGGCTCGGCGGCTCGTCTTTTGGGCGGCTCAGCTGCTGGGCGGCTCGGCGGCTTGGCTGCTCGGCTGCTCAGCTGCTGGGCGGCTTAGCGGTGAAGGGGCCGGTAGAGGCGGCGACGAGGCCGGTAGAGGCGGCGACGGGGCCGGCAGAGTCGGCGATGGGGCCGCTAGGGGCGGCGACGGGGCCGCGTAGGGAGGGGAGCGGCGACGGGGCCGCTAGGGGCGGCTATCGGGCCGCGTAGGGGCGGCGTCCAGGTCGCGAAGGGGCGGCGACGAGGCCGCGTAGTGGCGGCGACGGGGCCGCGTAGGGAGGGGAGCGGGGACGGGGCCGCTAGGGGCGGCGACGGGGCCGCGTAGGGGCGGCAACGGGGCCGTGTAGGGACGGAGGCGGGGACGGGGCCGCTAGGTGCGGCGACGGGGCCGCGTAGGAGCGGCGACGGGGCCGCTAGGGGCGTAGGTGGGGCCGCTAGGGGCGGCGACGGGGCCGCGTAGGGGCGGTGACGGGGCCGCATAGGGAGGGGAGCGGAGACGGGGCCGCTAGGGGCGGCGACGGGGCCGCGTAGGGGCGGCGACGGGGCCGCTAGGGGCGGCGACGGGGCCGCGTAGGGGCGGCGACGGGGCCGCGTAGGGGCGGCGACAGGGCCGCGTAGGGAGAGAGGCGGCGACGGGGCCACTAGGGGCCGCGACGGGGCCGCTAGGAGTGGCGACGGGGCCGCGTAGGGGGCGGCGACGGGGCCGCTAGGGGCCGCGAGGGGCCTGGAAGAGCGGCGACTGGGCCGCTAGGGGCGGCAGGAGGGGCCGTGAGAGGGGGCTCTAAGAGAGCTCGACAGAAGGGCGGCCCATAAGGCGCGCCTCGGGCAGGAGCGAATGGCACTCCGGTCAGAAAAAAAAAGTTTTAGTGGTGGGCCCAAAAAAGCGTTCCCACTAGGGAACCTGCTCTATACCATGTGAAGAAATGAGGAATGAATGAACTAGGAAAGAGGTGGGTACAAGTAGGAAAACCTAGAAGTGCTGTACCCCATATAGTCTACCCCACTACAGCCTAGACAGACTATAGCATATAAGTTTGACAACCTACAGTGGGTCACCCGCTGACTCGCAGGAGTGAACCGGCCAACCCCCCCATCCTGTAGATCAGCACCACTCACCAAGTTTGTAGAGAACGAGGGGAGGTAGAGACCAGACAGGGTGCCAGAGGGGGCCGCCGGACACGGTAAGACAGTGGAGAAGCGGGCAAGGACAGGACCCCCAGAGGGGTCCGCCAGGGAGACCGCAACTGGCCGACTAAGCAGCGTAAGCGTGGTGCGGTCTCGAAAGAAGGAGCGGGAAGCACCCGAGTCAAGGGTGAAGGTGTGTAAGGCCTGAGCCGACGTGGTACCTGAGAGAGCAGACTCACCAGTACCTAGAACAGCAGCCTCACTAGCATCTAGAGCAGCAGCGTCAATGCCCGGGTCAGGCGGGACACACAGGTAACAGTCACCCTCATCACTAGTAGACACAACATACATGGAAGCAAGAATGGCATCATAATCCAGATCAAAGATGGTAACCCCCGACCAAAGGACCTCACCCCAGCGGGGGATCTCAGTGGCGTCAGGGAACTGGAGACGCCAAGCGTCCATCAGGCGGCCGAAGCAGCGCTGGGTGGTGTGCGGGCCACCGCACTGCTCACCAGTGCGGTCGCCGGTACGCAGGACGTAGGCACAAGGACCAGCACCCCCACCCCGCTGACGCGCAGCGTACCACTCACGAAGCTGCTGGGGGGGCGGGGTGTCACGAGTGCGCTGCTGCTGCTGGCGCTGACCACCACCAAAGCCGCCCCGCTGCGCAGAGCCACCCCGACCAGCTCCACCTCCGCCGCCGCCACCTCCGCTACCGCCGCCACTGCCTCGTCCTCCGCTCCCACCGCCACCACCGCCGCCGCCTCCGCCTCCACCGCCGCCACCGAAGCCCCCACCCCCACCACCACTCCCACCGCCACCCCCACTCCCTTCGCCGCCTCCACCGCCACCTCCACCACCCCCACCAGCCCCTCCAGCTCCCTTGCCCCCCTTGCCCTTGCCGGTGCGGCGTCTCCCGCTAGGGGCAGACGCAGCACCGTCCGACTCGGTGCCAACGAAGTCGACGGCAGCAGCAGAGGCAACAGAGGGCAAAAGGGGGGAGGGGGAGCACCCCTCGAAGAAGGGGGCACGAGGGTCACCACAAGAGGCTCCTACAACGACCATACTCTTCTCAGCTGCCAGGAGGCGCTCCTCGAGGAGGTCAACGGTGAGTGTGGTGGGGCAAACAGAGAGGAAGTGGTCCCTGACCGAGCGAAGGGAGTCAGGGAGCCGGGTGACTATGTAGTAGAGGGTGATGTACATGGGGGGGGGGGGGTTCTTGGCGCAGAACTCAGCAGGAAGCGCAGCGCGGTAGCGGGTGTCACTAGTGCGAAGGTGCGTAATGAGGTCAGCGACAGTGGGAAAGGCGGCGAGGTCAGGGAACAGGTACGGCAGCATGAGGCGACTAAGGGCAGCAGTGGCAGGGGAAGAGTAGCGTGCAACTACAGCGTCGTACAAGGTCTTAGCACTCTTGTACTGACTAAAGTGCGCGCGCTCAGTGGAAGGCAGGTGACTACGCACAGCAAGACGGTCAGCAACATCGCGTGTGGCCCACTGTGAGCGAAGAGTGCTGTCAGCATCGGCAGCAGGGGCAGAAGAGGCGCCAGACGTGAGATCAAACAGTGAGAGACCGTCTTTCCTATCGCACTGTAGGAAAAGCTGTAGATGATCGACCCTGACCTCAAAGACAACAACCCGACCCTCAGTATCAAAGGCGAGAATGCTAGGGGTAGCCATGACAGTAGTGGCAGTAGGCTAGGGGCAGCAGCAGCAGTAGCAACAGGAGGGGCGCAGCTCGGTGGTGCTCTTACCACGGCAGGTGGGTAGAGTGCCGCAAATGGTGGGGCAGGGCCGAGGCACGTCGGCAGGGACGGGGCCGCTACATGGCGGCAGAGGAGCTCCGCTCCGCTCTGCAGGGCAGGGCCGGGACAGCGGCGGCGGCCCCTGCTGTCGACGGCAATGGCAGCTGCAGGCGGCGGCTGCTGCTGGTGTAGGCTGCTGCGGCGTATGCGGCCCCGGCTGTGGCGGCGGCGGCTGCCTGCTGTCAACGGCACCGACAGTGGCGGCTCCCGCTGCTGGAGCGGCGTTGGCTGCTGCTGCAGGGGCGGCGACGGCGGGGCGGCAGGTCTGTGAGGGAGCCGAGAAGGGGCCGCGGAGGAGCCGAGAAGGGGCCGCCAAGGGCGGTGAAGGGGCCACGAAGGGCCGTGAAGGGGCCGCGAAGGACGGCAGCGGGGCCGTGAAGGGGCCGTGAGGGGCCGCGAAGGGTGGGGACGGGGCCGAGAAGGGCCGCAAAGGGCGACTACGGGGCCGAGAAGGGTGGCGACGGGGCCGCGAAGGGCGGCGACGGGGCCAAGACGGGCGGCGTCGGGGTCGCGAAGGGCGGCGACGGGGCCAAGAAGGGGCCGCGAGGGGCCTCAAAGGGCGGCGACGGGGCCGCAAAGGGCGGCGACGGGGCCGCAAAGGGGCCGTGAGGGGCCTCGAAGGGCGGCGACGGGACCGCGAAGGGCGGCGACGGGGCTGCGGAGGGCGGCAACGGGACCGCAAAGGGGCCGCGAGGGGCCTCGAAGGGCGGCGACGGGACCGCGAAGGGCGGCGATGGGGCCGCGAAGGGCGGCGATGGGGCCGCAAAGGGGCCGCGAAGGGCCTGAAGGGGCCGCGAAGGGCCGTGAAAGGGGCCGTGAGGGGCCGAGAGAGGGGCCGTGACGGGGCCGTAAGGGAGCGCGACGGGCCGCTAAGGGCAGGGGACGCGACGGGAGGGCAGACACACGGGGCGCGACTCGGGCAGGGGCAAAGCGCGCTCTGGGCAGGAAAAAAAAGTCGATTTTCGGTGGGCCCTAGGAAACGTTCCCACTAGGGAACCTGCTCTATACCATGTGAAAGAAGGAGGAATGAATGCACTGGCAAACATGTGGGTACAAGTAGGAAAACCTAAAAGTGTTGTACCCCATATTGTCTACCCCACTACAGCCTACAGAGACTATAGCATATAAGTTTGACAGTCAGTGCGTCGGCGATGTTTGAGGCTCCCTTATTGTAAGTGACCGTGTAGTGAAAATTGGACTCGAGGAAATCGAGCCAGCGAATCTGTCGTGGGTTGAGGTGTGGCTGTGCGCGAAGGTACTGTAGTGATTTATGGTATGTCCGTACTGTCACGTCCGCGCAAGTCAAGTAACAGCGCCATACTTTGAACGCGTGCACGATCGCAAGCATTTCGCGGTCGTGTATCAGGTAATTTTTCTCGGGCGGATGCAGTTTTCGTGACTCGTATACGATAGGCTGTAGGCCATTGCCAAAATCCTGTAGTAGTACGGCTCCGATGGCAATATCGCTTGCGTCGGTAACTACTTCGAATGGGCGGTGTGGGTCGGCGATGCGCAGGGCGGGCGGTGAACAGAGAACATTTTTCAGGGTAGAGAACGCAGCATGCTCTTTCTCCCCTTACGTAAAAGCGACCCCCTTCCGCAATAAATCCGTCAGTGGGGCAGTTAACCGTGCCATATCGGGGACGAACTGACGCACATAATTAACGAACCCTAAAAAGCTCTGCAGCTCCGTGATGTTCGTCGGGGGATGCCACGCTTTTACCGTATCCAGCTTCTTTGGGTCGATTTCAACTCCAGCCTCCGAAATAACGTGCCCCAAAAATTCTAACCTATCCTGGAAGAACTCGCACTTGGAACCCTTGGTCAGTAATCTGTGCTCGTCTAAAACCTTAAACACTGCTTCCAGATCTGCTAAGTGCTGCTGCTTATCCCGACTGTAAACTAGTAAACTAAGAGCGACCTAAATGCCTCGTTCATGGTCATCTGAAAAGTCACCGGTGCGTTGGTCAGCCCGAATGGCATCACAGTGTACTCGAACGACCCGTACCTAGTCCTGAAGGCTATTTTGGCGCAGTCCGATGGTTTGACTCTAATCTGAAAGTAACCTCCCCGTAAATCTATTTTCGAAAAAAAACCCGTGCTGTTCGCAGTTGGTCGATCAGTTCGTCGGCGCGGGGAATGGGGTACAGCGACTTGACTATTACCCTGTTCAGTGCTCTGTAGTCGATACACATGCGAAAATCCCCGTCTTTTTTCGGCGTGAACAGTATCGGTGCGGCGAATGGTGACGAGCTTGGTAGGATGAATTTTTTCTCTAACAGGTAATCTAACTACTTCCTTAGTTCGCCGAGCTCGGGCTGTGTCAGTCTGAACTGGCGCTGTACGGTTGGCTGTGCCCCCGGTTCTAATTCGATTCGGTGGTCATGTGCTCGCTGAGGTCGCAGTCCTTCCGGTAAGTCGTCGGAGAAAATCCCGGGGTATCGTTTCAACAGTTCCTGTAATTCGGGCGGTACGGCTGCCAGCATTTTCTTGAAATCACTCGGCTGCTCTGCTTCCTCTACTACTGCGATGTCTACTGCGTACACGTCAGCTCCAGCAGCGACAGCCCGTTTCATTGTGATGGCGTTGACTGTTGAGATAGTAAGAGTAGGGCCTAGGCTTAGTAGCCTAGGCCAAAGGGAGTCGAGAGAGTTTAGGCAAAGAGTGGGGAGTTCACTATTGAGAGAGGTACAAATAGCAAACAAAGCATGCAAAGAAGGTGCACCACCAACAAGTTTATAATAACTACACTAACTACAGCTATAGGCAGTTACAGATATATTCTAACATTGACGTGTACCGTTGAAGACTCGGGCGACTGCCAGCGAGGTAGCTCGACCCAGTTACCACTACTTCGCACGGTGCAGCTACCCGTCGTCCAGTCGATTCGCGGGTTATACCGTCGCAGCCAATCACGTCCTAGTAAAATATCGTGCCCATCCAGTGTTGTTGCGAGCATTTTCTGTATAAACTCGAAATTTCCCCCGCAGCGGACTTTGACTCTCTCTACCTTTTCCCGTATGGCCAGTGGCGTGTCGTCGACTAAGCGTGCGTCTATCTCCGGTAAGCAACGGCTAAGTGTCAGCTGCAGTTTTCGTGCAGTTGTGGTATTAACTAAACTCTGGCTTGCTCCTCCATCGATAAAAATCTTCACTGCTGCTCCATGTATTTTTCCGTGGATCAGTACTGGGCAATCCGTCGCTGTACCCTCCTTATTCGTCTGAGTCCGATCGATAGTATGAATCGGTACTGTGACTCGGCGAGGGTCGGTGGGGTTGGGTGAGCAGGCAGTCTCGTCAGTAGTTGGCCTGATTCCTACTGACTGCTGGCGTTTCCCTACCTTGGAGACTCCCTCCCCTGCTCTGCTCCGCGGCGCCTTAGCTCCTCTGGGCATTCGCTCTTGCGATGGCCCGGCCTATTGCAAGCAAAGCAGCGCCCCTTAAACGGCGCGGCAGCTGCATTCGTCGCAACAGCGTGTACAGTGGCGTGCTCGATCGGTCCCTGAGGACGATGTCCATAGTAGGACCCCGGTCTCGGACGGCGTAAAATGTCGATTTTCTCGGCGAGCGCGAGAATCTCGTTGAAGTTCGAGAGCCCGCGTAGCATGATTTCGTGCGAGATGTCCGGCTTCAGCCCTCCGACGTAACGGTCCACCCGCTCCGCTTCGTGCATGTAGCCGACTTGCTCGCATAATGCGAGAAAACCACTCGTATAGTCTTGAACCGATCCGAGTTGCCGCCAAGTGCGCAATCTCTGACGCGCTGAAATAGAAGCCGCGATCGGCTCGAAGCGCGCCCGAAGCCCTGTGTCAAAGTTTGAAGGAAGAAAGAGGATTGAACTAGCAAGAATGAGGATACAAATACCAAACCCTAGAAGGGTTGTACTCGCTATAGAGCACCACACTACAGGCTAGAACAATAAGATAATATTCTGACACACCCCCATAGCCAAAGTGGGGTGTAATCAGCAGAGCAGGCAAAGCAAAAACAAGCTCAGGGTGGATCACAATGTCACCACACATTCTGAGCACAAGTTCAAGAAGAAATAGTTTAGAGTGTACAATTATAAGCAAAGCTAGTGGTAGTCACAACGGGCAAGTGAGGAGGAGGAGGGAGAGTGAGGGGAGAGGAGACAGGAGGCGACGGCTGAAGCTGCAGACACACGGGCAACAGGAGGCAGACTGGCACAGCGGCTACCGGACAGCGCCCGGACTACAGGAGTAACAGGCCCCGCGGCTCAAATAGCGGCGGACGGGCAACGGACCCACGGGCGGCTGGCACAGCTGGCTACGACTGGGCTACCGGGACAGCGCCCCGGACTACAGGTGCTGCTGACGACAAACTGGCAACCTCCGCTCATCCTCCCACACACAGTCCCACCCCCCTGATACACACCCACTGCTACACCACTAGCTCTACTCCCACGCACCCCCCTTAAACCCTAAACCCAGTCTCCCACACAACCACCCCCCTCAGCGACAGCTGCAGCAGTTGGAGACGAAGGAGGAGGAGGAGAAAGGGAGGAAGGCACACCGGCCACCCCCATACCCGCCACCCCACAGCTCGCCCCTCAGCAACCTGTAGTCCGGGGCGCTGTAGTCCGCAAGCGGCCCCCTCAGGTCGCCACGACGGACGACGGGAAATGGGGGGAGGGGAGAAAAGGGGGGGGGGGGGGGGGGGGGGGCCCACCACGGACCTGAGGGGAGGGCGGGGCCGCGACAAGGGGCGGGGCCGCGACGAGCGGGGCGGGGCCGCGACGTAGGGGGGGGACCGCGGCGTAGGACGGGGCCGCGACGGTCGGTTGGGGCCGCGACAGGTCGGGGCCGCGAAGGGTCTGGGGCGGGGCCGCGACGTTCGGGGCGGGGCCGCGACGTAG